TTGACATAATAGGGGTAGGGCACTCAGGTGGGGGGCGTCTGGTTTGGCGGTGAAAACGGATGAAAAAGCGGCGTTGAATGTATTAGCGCACTCAGAATCTGAAAGGACATCACCATGATCCGTATAAATACGGATAGAGCGGTTGGGCTGAGGGTTAATGATCTGCCAGAATTTACGGGGGTTATCGGTTATCATGCGGGGAAGGTCCGAGTGAAAAAAGTAATGTTTACTTTGACGAACTTCTGCGAGATATGCGCGTTCAGCTTGATAATATCTGTCCTACGAGTCGGCATTTGGTTTAAACTTCGCCTTACGAAAGAGCCGCTTTTTTTGTTCTCAAGTGTTTTAAGGTTTTTGGTGTGCCACGGCTCATGACGATTAGAAGGAATAGTGATGACTGGAATATATTAGTCCTCTAAAACATTCATCTTGCCCTGAAAATTTGACCAGTTCTGCTGCTTGGAGCGATTGTGAAATGTCGACTCGTAGGACCGATAAAATTCATGCAGTTCGTTGTTTATGGCCGAGTAGTTACCTTTATTGTAGAGGCGAATTTTTTTTGCTGGGGAGTGGTGAAAAAGTGGTTTGAGGGAAAATGTGGCATGAATTACTTTATAGTCGCTTATTTCTTTAAGGTAACTAATTGATGACATGAATTTGGGATGCGATGTCAGAATAAGGTCAAGCGTGTTGGCGCAATCTACCGTGACACGAGTTGGCTCTTTTATTAGTTGGGTCAGATTATGGTTAAGGCAGAAGTCCAGAAATTCAGCAGCCTCCGAGTTACTTGTAGCTAATTGCAGAGAAGACCAATCAATACTGGAGTAATTAAAGTCACCGAAAAGTAAGACGCATGCATTAGGGTGCCGCTTGGCTAAACCACTCAAAATATTATTAAGTTTGCTGGGAAAATCGGAATGATGACTAGGGGGCCTGTAGCACACGCCAAGAATAATAGAGGAAAATCAGTACGGCAGATCAGCCACAAAATTTCAAGGTCACTTGATATATTGACAGGGCAACAGGATAGTTCAGTATGAACGGCGATTAATACCCCACCCCCTCTGCCAGCGTACCTGTCTTTTCGAAAAATATCAAAGTTGGGAAAGTTGTTCAAAATTTCAGCATCAGCAATTTCACTAGAAAGCCATGTTTCGGTTAGTACAACTACATTACTATCGGAAGATGACACCAGATTTGACACTACTTTACGTTTTGGAAGGAAGCTGCGAATGTTAGTGAAGATAACCGAGAGTGAAACGGTGGCACGGGGCATGCGAGTAAGGTGGCTACGTGGTTGACGGGCGGGACGAGATAGCTATAGTTGTTCTTGCACGCTTCGTGAAGCTTCATCAAAGAAGAAGCGTCGTGGGCCGATGTGTAGCGTTTTATATCGAAGTGAGTAAGGCACGGACTTGTTTTTGCCAAGGCGACAAGGTGTTTAGGTGTGTTTTGTACCCGTTGGGAAAAGTCCTCCCCAATGCCGTATGTAGTACCTTTCAACTTGCGAGCGTTAGTAAGGATCGCCTCTTTCGTCTTAAAGGCAGGAAATCTGACAATTATTGGACGATTACGGCCAGAGGTATGGCGACCCAAGCGATTCGCTCTTTCTATTTCTTTTGTGTTGACTGTTAAATTCAGTTGTTCGGAGCAAAGTTGAATGATCGCTTCTTCAGGGTGTGCACGCGATTCAGATGAAGAATCGGGGATACCATAAAAGATAAGGTTGTTACGGTGGGACCGATTTTCCGCATCATCGAAATGGCTTTCTAAAAGAGAAACACGATACACTGTTTCGGTGTTGTCAGTCTGTACGGTTCCAAGCTGCTGCCGCAAGTGCTCGATATGTTCACAACTCGCTTCCACAGAAGCCACACGCTTAGCGAGCTCGGCGATAGTGTTATTCGTGGTAACAAGTTGTGCCCTAATGTCTTTAATTTCCGTAATGACAGTTGCTTGACCGGCAGTTAGCTTACGCAACTCGGCGAGAATAGCCGCATTATCGGGTCCTGGGTTCGACTCGATATCACCATGACTAGCAGCAAGGAACGCACGACAGCTCCACACTCACAACAAGTAGCAAACAGGCGCTGCGGGCTCGGCAGCTGAAGTAAGAAGTAATTGCTCGACTTTTTTGCGTATAGGCTGTATGAAGGACCAACCTGCATGATGAAGGGCAGAGGATTAGTGGTCACTCTCGCAGAACAGCTGCCGAGCCCACAACAGCTGCCGAGCCCACTTGTGCGTGAGAAAGGTGGGGCACGTTTTGATCTGCTTGCCATTATGCGTGGGACCTTCCAATTTGTTGCTATGGAGTTCATTGCTTTGCCTTTGCGGCAAAGCTGTGACTTTGTTTCTTATTAGACGCAATAATAATGAGAACTAAGAGACAAAAGGCCAGGCGAAGTATAGGGGAGCTCCGCCGGGGTGGTCTAGTGGCTAAAGTACTCAGCTGCTGAATCGCTGGTCGTGGGATCAAATTCCGGCTGTGGCGGCTGCATTTTCGATGGAGGCGAAAATTATGTAGGCCCGTGTGCTCACATTTGTGTTCACGTGAAAAAACCCCAGGTGGTCGAAAATTCAGGAGTTCTCCTCTGCGGCGTCCCTCATAATCATATGGTGGTTTTGAGACGCTAAACTCACATATCAAAGTATATGGGAGTTGACAGAAGTAACTTTAATGTTAACGTGGAGAAACAAAAGTGGACCAAAAGATAACTTTCCACCCGCAGGATTCAAACCTGCAGCAGCCCTATCGGAAAAAACGAATGGTGGGCATGGTGTAAACCACCACCCACCATTATAGTGGATTAATGTAGTGGGTGAATGGTGGGAAACGCCCACCATGGCGCATGGTGGGTATGGTGGGTGCTGCAGTGCTGGCAACACTTGAGCGCGAAATGACGTCAGCATCACCGTGACGAGCTGCCACAAAAATAAAAAAGAATTGTATAAAAACGATATAACAAACACCCGTCCCGTAAAAAAAAACAAGGCGCCACAGAGGATCGAACGTGCAACCTGTGGATTTCCAATCGAAGACGCTAACCACTGCGCCACATCAACATGACGTTGATTGTGTGTTAAATACTCAGTTAGCATACAAACTTACGGTTCAACTTAAGTTATGTTTGTCGTGTACGCAACATAGACAATATCTACACCTGCTACTAAAAATTGCACATTTATTAAACACAAGCAACTGCGGCCTGTAACGATTGCCACTACGTTAATGACACTAGTGCTATTTTTCTTACAATTTACGAGTTCAAGAAAAAAAACCAAGTGGACTGGGGAGCAGCAACAGTTTACCGGCGGGGTCTGCCAAGTTTAATATCCGTTTCGCGCTCGTTCTAAAGGGCGACATCTGCTCACGCTTTATGACGCTTCTAGGCTCATTCCATAGATACACCCGCCTAATTTATTTGATTGAGCATTGGGATGCTTTCCGCGCAATGTAGAGGGCGGTCGCGCCAGCGCGATGCTGTAGCTCTTTCGCTAAAGCAACAACTACATAACGGCTTGGCCAAAACGAATGCAGTGTGTCGGAAAAATTACGCTATCATACTGGTTCACCAAGCATACGAATTGCCACGTCTGAGTTCTCGTACAACAGCTAGAGAAGTGCCGGCGAGTGCGACCGGCGGCTGTCGGTGAGAAGACACTTAATTACGTTCTCCGGGAGTGCTTTATTCGCGTTGTGATGTTTGTTGCTTCTTGAGCGGACACCATACACAATGAAAAATGCTTCATTTAGGTTAACTGATGCCATGGCTGCGCTGTATTGTCATACCTAATCGTCGAAATCGTGTATTCTGAAACCCGGAAGCACGGATAACACAATTGTACGGGCTCAATTGGTAGGCCTAACCTTTGGTGGAAATCATGGTGGTAGGACATGTAGTGTACAGATCCCAACTTGGTATACTATACAAATTGCCCGCCATTGTAAGCCCACCCATCATCTACTTACTGCTTCCCAGCATTATCGCGATGGTGGGCAGAGCTTCTCAGCTTGGTACACCATGTGGCCCACCATAACAAGCAGCACCCATCATCTGGTTAGTGCTTCCCAGCATTATCGCAATGGTGGGAAGAGTTTCTCAGCTTGGTACACCATGTAGCCCACCATAATAAGCACCACCCACCATATGCTTAGGGCTTCCCAGCATTATCGCAACGGTGGGCAGAGTGTCCCATTATCGCCCACTATCTAGCCTCTGCTTTCCACCATCGTTTCCACTTTACCCATCATCTGTACACCATACCACCCAGTATGTCCCTCCATAACCACCATATTTTCCACTACGTCCCACCATAGCCATCATAATTTCCACCATGCCCACTATTATTTCTACCATGCCCACTATTATTTCCACCATGCCCAGCATGTTTTCCAGTATCCACCATGGCAATTTTTCCGATAGGGAGCCTTCGAATAACGCGCTTGATAGTCCACCACTGAGGTAAGGTAGTGGCTCTTTTTCTGACCACTTTATAGGGTACATTAAATGCGGAAGCTTTAGTCAGCGTTGCTTGTTGCCACTGCCGTGAGTGTGCAACACTCTTTGTTGCCTGTTTGAGGTCACTTACTACGTGACACCGGACACTCGCTGCAATGAAACAAGTGGTGCTGACTGACGCTCTCATGTTTAATTCACATATATACCCTATTATGAGAATGGGTGGATAACCGCCACTATAGCTCTGTATTACAGCATCGAACGCGCTTTTTGAGTTTCGCAGGTTCAGAACCTATTGCTGGCATCACCACTAGTGCTTTGCAGGGAGATAGACAAAAACTTGACCCTCATGATTTCCTGCGACGATAGGACCTTTTTTCCTTTCTGTATATCTGCTAGTTGAATGACATTTTATGGAGAAAACTTCACTAGCAGATTATAGCTGTGAAACACTTATGACAGCTTCACTCCTCTGCAAAGTGTATCACCGGTATGCTTGTACCAAAGTGAAAGCGCACTTTCCCGTTGTCGTTCTAGGTCGCCAGATCATGACAGAATTTGACCTTTTGTTGACACCCAGAGGCTACAGCAACAGCTACGACCCGGAGCTGAATGCCGGCATCGGCAATGTATTCGCGGCCGCCTCCTACCGATATGGACACACGCTCGTGCAGGTCAGTCAACTTGCCCTTTCCTTAAGTTTCTAGTGGTGTGTTTTGAAGAGGCTATGCTAATCGCCACTCTTTCTTTTTTGATTCTTCTGCCTTTTTTCACACCACCATCGTAGCTTAAATGGTCTTTTCTTTAAGCTTGTATAGAATAAAGCCCTAGTCACAACTTAGTTTGTCATAACGAATGTAGCAGCTATGTAAATTAGTACAGAGGAAGCATTTCAAAAACTTTGTCCAAAAATTTTGTCCAAGACTAAGCATAACGAGGACCGCACCATAAGTGCCAGAAATAATACAAATGGTAGCATTACGTAAGCAAAACTCACTGTCACTGACTAAAATGTTCAGTTAAGGCCCTTTTTATATCTCTCACGGGCATAGGAAGGTCCGATTGGCCTGATCTTCCCTCTTAATAATTTTGAAACATGAAAGTGTTTTATACCGGTGTCCACCATGGCTATGCTGACGTATTTCGGTCACGTTTTTGACAATGTAAAATCTGAGTAAACATACTGTAAAAAAAATAGAACCAAAAGTTCTGTCACCGGGTGTTGAACCTACACCCTCGCATTCCTCTGTGCTTGGCGCCAAATGATTGAAATATACAACACATATTCTCAAGCTTACAAAAGGCGAGCTGTCTAGATACGGCATATATCGTTGGCAGTTCTCTTAGCTAATCAACTTCAGAGCACTTTCGTCATCAGTAGCAAGACGAGGCGAAGAGCACGCATTGGGAGCGCTGTAATGATCGTCAAGTCACCATGTATAATAAATGGTTATGTTCGAGGAAAATACAGTCAGTGATGTCGTGAAATACTAGTGACTATTAGTGAATACTAGTACTAGTGAATACAGTCAGTGAAATACTAGTGATGTCGTACAAGACCTTTGTGGTTAATCTTCCTTTACACCACCTTACGTTTACGAAATACTTGCTCTCTCTGTAGATGAATTCCTTCTTGTTACCTGTGGGATGTGTCCTTTATATTCTAGCGATGATGATATTTGCAGTGAACTACATGATACCTGCAAATGCACCTAAGATCATACGTTGCCAATATGTGGCAATACAAAATAATTTTAAATGCGGAGCATGTGTTAGTTTGCTGCAGGTACAATGAGCTGATGTCTAGGCATCTATTAGTCTATCTAGCCTCCTACAGCTGAGTGCTTTCCTTCGCACCCCTTCATCTTCTTGTAAACCAAAATTTGTATGAAAGAATAAGGTAGTATGAAAAATATTGTTACGGGGATTAAAGTATACGCGATGAGTATATTGGCATGCAAATGTGTAGAACGCTACTGCAGTCCATGCACGTTCTCCTCAGCACTTCGTTGTCATCGCTCTGAGGTATCTACTCAGACCATGACATTACCCGGCGGCGGCAGACGCACCGTCCCGGTGCGATTAATCCTCGGGGCGGGAGTAGTATGGTTTAAATCGCGAGACGTGCACTATATCAGTCGAGACTAAAACTGTTGCTGACGGGTATGGAGTGGAGCAATTTCATAGGTCACGCTGGTGACCTTCAAGAAGGACAATAGCTGGAGATTCTGTGTTGACAACCGCCTTCTCAACCATATTACCAAGAAAGTATCTATCCTCTACCGCGCATATATGATGCACTCGATTGATTACATGGTGCTAAATATTTCTCTTCAATGAACTTTCGCTAAGGCTACTGGCAGATCGCTGTGGACGACAAAGACAGAAAGAAGACGACCTTCGTTACTTCTGATTGACATTATCAGTTTAAGATTATGCCTTTTGAATTATGTAATGCTCCCGCAATTTTGAGCGCATGATGGACTCTCTCCTTCGAGGAATGAAGTGGACGATCTACCTTTGCTATCTTAACGATGCTGTTGTTTTTTCGACTACTTTCGAAAATCATCTTACCCGTCTCTCCAAAGTGCGTGATGTTTTCCGACGTGCCAACCTTCAACTTAAGGCCACTCAAAAACAAAAGTTCTTTTAAGGGCACGCAGCGTTGAAATAACTTTTCCCTTGAAACCAGCATGTCTTATTTAATTTACCCAGCGATTTACAGTGCAAAATATTGAATATTTATTTATTGGGAGGTAATCTTTGTCAAAAATTGCATTAAGAGTGCTAGCCACGCTAGCTGTGATAAGTGAGTAATGGGTGGCTTTATTGAGTAAAACTTTTATATTTCTGTAACAAATGACTTGAGCTATGCAGTGAACTAGAATAAAGATTATGCAGTGAATTTTAAGAAAGTAATGCTAAAAAACAAAAAACGGAGAAAAAGAACCAATTTAGACTGAACCTCTTGGAGAATTCAGCTGTGAACTGAAAAATATTCGATGAATTCCTTTTATTCTTGTTCACTGCACAGATATATATGTTGTAAATCATTGTGCCAAATTTCGGTTCAAACTATACGCTGAGAAATACGTTATGAAAGTTTGCGTAGCAACAATTGGAGCAAATTGTTATTTTCAGAAAAACGTAAACAAAATTTCCGAGCTTGTAAAAAGGGTCACAATCTTCGCATGCAAACCTAAAATGCACCAGATTCATAGCTGCGCCATTCTGCGGAAGGATTATTGTCTCCTTTTGTCCGGGTGGCTGCTCGTCTTTTCTTCCTGGCCTGTTTTGTCCCCTCCGCTGACTTGCGTTTAGCATTCTGCATGTGCAGGTGATCCCTGGCGATGCAAGCTTTCGTCGTGTGGTACCCTGGTTCTACGCCAGCTTGCCTCACGATATATCGGGTGCTTACACTGCCATTATTAAAGTGTGCCGCATTATCATGAAAGGCAAACATTACTGTAGGCAAGCTTGATTTGTGGGGTTTAACGTCCCAAAACCACCATTTGATTATGAGAGACGCCGTAGTGGAGGGCTCCGGAAATTTTGACCACCTTGGGTTCTTTAACGTGCACCCAAATCTGAGTACACGGGCCTACAACATTTCCGCCTTCATCGGAAATGCAGCCACCGCAGCCGGGAATCGAACCCGCGACCTGCGGGTCAGCAGCCGAGTACCTTAGCCACTAGACCACCGCGGCGGGGCATAGGCAAGCTTACGTAGACCTCTTTGGATGCCCGCTGCCATATTAGACCATTGAAACACTCATTAGAATTTTGAGCCTTTTCATGAAGGCGCTTCATTAGAAGTTCATCAGAGCACAGATCACTGTATACAGTTCTAAATTTATTGAGCACATCATTTGGAAGTCTTCATTTTTGTATATTTTTCTCTTGGCCGAGTGCTTCGACCCTTCGGTATCCGCACCAGCTTTTCGGTCCAAGTGGACACAGGTCATGGCTCGGCTGCTTGTCGGTAGAGCTGCAATAAAAAGGACTGCCAAGGGTAGCTTTTTTCATTGCAGAAAGGTTCCCCACATTAGCCCCTATGTCGATGCCATAGTAGTTTTGCAGGTGGTCAATGAGGGCATCAATGAGCTTTCCCTTGCCGTCAAGTCTATGCACTGTCTTCTTCAGTTTTCCGAGGCGGCAGCCAACACGCTTCTGGACATGTACATTACATTCTAGTTTCTGCACACTGTGTTATCCATACATGTCTTTGACAGCGGCACAGCTCTTGGAATAACTATCACCGTAGTACTGCAGGTACTTCAAATCTCTTTTGCCTTTCGACCTTTCAAATATTCGGTATAGACCAACCGTCTCCATACTGCCAGCACTTCCATCATAGTTTGCTTGACAGAAAGTGTGGTTTGCCTTTCATTCCTGGTACGAAGCACTATCTTGCCTCAACTTGCTTTTGTTTTTACAAGACTTACACGAACTAGAAATGGCCTCAACATCACTAACCTTTCCCATGTCAACAGAAATCACAGACACACAACCATTCAAAGATGAATGGCCACGCTTATGCCACGTGCCACCACCTGAAACACCACACTCGGCACTCCCCACAACACGATGAACTTCCACAGCAGCATCAGTCATCGACTTCGACGCCACTTCTCCTGCCGCTACAGAAAGCCGAGATGACAATTTGTCGTACGCGGAGTGACGTGGAGGAGCAGGCATGTTCATCACTTTGGAAAAAGTTTTCGCACCAGCGTGCCCTTTTCCTAACTGGCGTATCGCGTAAACCAGACGTACATTGTTCTCATTGGCACGACCCACCTTTCTCGACATATGAAATGGGCACTTGAACCCACATTTGGTACACACGACCACACAAGCCGAACATATCCCTTGGTGAGAGCGTTCCTCGAGCTTCAGTGTTGTGTTCATGCATTCCGAACATGCCAGCGATGAAAGCACCGAAAAAAGAATACCAATGTCCATTATCCCGTTCTCTTGGAGCGCAGAATTCTGTGGTGGAGCCTGGTACGCCTTGTTTATGTCCCTAAGCTTCTTCGCGGTCGCCGAAATACCAGCGTCTGTGTCAGTAGGCAGCTTCGTCGTCATGTAGCGATTTCCAGCAAACTTGCGCTTCCTCATCTTCTGTGTTCTGCACTTCCCCATGCTGGTCGTAATATGGTCCAGGTGTCCTAACGATACAGCCCTAGTAGCATTGACACGTGGAACAAATGCAGAACGAAGTCTGACGTAACCTGACCAAGGCAAACAACAAAAATTACGATGAGCATCGTGCGTCCCCCATGTGGCTGTTGTTAGAGATTAACTTAGACTTTTAAACATAGAGTTGCATATAATGACATCATCCTATATAATAGTCACAATAAAATGCATAAAGTATTTTGAATAGCAATATTATAGACGAAACAACACTTGCTTTTGAAAGCGATTTTTCGAAAGCGAAACCACAGCTGGAAATGTGGTTTCGGTTTTGCTATAGGAGCTTAGGGTATAGAAAACTTGCTGTAACTCCCAAACTGAAGACGCCAAGAGGATAATTTTTGTTGCAACATATATGTGAATATTTGGGTGTGCAAGAAAAACAGACGCTGAAAATTTATATCGCGAAAAAATATGACTTTTGGAGGTGGCCTACCACCTTAACTCGTCAAAATATCGCTTTGGACAACGCTAAATC